TGGGTTCCTCGGGAGGAACCCATGAGGAACTGGGTTCCTCCGGAGGAACCCATGGAACCCATGATTTTTTCTTTTTTTTGGGTGGGAAATTTTCACAAAAAAATATTCCATGTCAAGCCACATCATCAAGAAAATATTCCACGTTGGATTACTAACGACACAGAGTGGCCACGTCAATTTTTGAGTGACACGTAGTGCATTTTGTAACGGTACCGTGACGGTGCGTTAAAATGTTGGGTTTTTTACGGGTTTTAAAAAATTGAGGGTGTGAATAGGGAGGAAAAATTCTGAAAGGTGTTGACCGCGAAAAAAAAATAAATGGAGGGTGCAAATAGGGGGTTTGGCCTTCATTTATTAGAATCAATGGCTTTCATCACCAAAAATTTTTAAGATATTAAGAAATTTTGCTTCAAAAGGAGATTGGTTAGTTTCTCAATAAGGATTTTGCAATGCTACATTACTCATGGACAATTATTTCAATGAGAGCTTATAAGTTGATGTAGATTGTACAACCAAAATAGATCATTTATTGAGATTCACATGTTTCTCAATATATAAGGATCTCGAAAATGCTAAGTTGGGTAAATGTTCTAGTGGGAATCTATGAATTGATGTGGTGATACTGTCAAAGTGGATCATCTACTAAGATTCATAGTTTTCTCAATAATTCTTATGAAATGTTTGCTTCTTGAAATTAATATATATGATTACTTCCCCAAAAAAGGTGATCTTGCATATTGACTAAAAGAAGTATGAATGGTTAGTGAGGGCTCTTATTTTGATTTCATAGAGAATTTTGTGTCCAAAGATTATTGTTTTCTATGGAACCATTCTTACCAATTCATTTGTAATTGAAACTTTTAAGTTTCAATAAAATTTTATAGCCATTAGTCTTATCACATTGCCAATGTCATTTAATGTTAGTTGATCTATTGGGAAGATTAGAAAATAAAATATTAAAAATAAGGAATAAAGTAACTAACTTTATATTGGTGCATGCAATATTTTATCAAAATGTGATTATTATATGCATTAACTTAAAGTAGTTGGAGTTAGAACAATTAGTAATAATTATAAGTTTGTATATATTTGCCAAGGGATTATTTCCTTACTAATTGACTTATTAAGATTTAATTTTGTGGATTATTTGATCAATGTTCTTGAAGTGAGAGGGTTGTATCTTAAACTCCTATGAGAATATAACATATTCTCTATTTCTAGTTGTAGTTCTCTTCACTATTTATATTTAGATTAAAGAAGTAATTTATTCAAGTATTGCTATTTCCTATTTTTTAAATTATGAATATGAAAGTTTATTTTGGATAGTGAGATATAGTCTAAATAAAGTCAGAGTTCATTCATTATTAAGGATACAAGAATAAAATTAAAGGGTATCATGCTATATAATAAGGTATACCATGTAAAGCATATTTTTAAAAAGCACTTTTATAGAGACAAATATTTATAATTAAAATTATATTGTTAACATAAAATTGGTGTTAATTTGTGTATCACTTATGTGATTTGTATCTTGAATGCAATAGATAAAAAAGAGCCTCCAATAACATATAAAACTTCCATGGAGATTGGGGCAAAAGTCTATTTTTTAGCTCTTCATTTTATCAAGTTTGAAAATTTTAGCCCCTTACCTTATACTATGACATTTTTAACCCTTCACCACCTTACTAGATTTGTAGGTTTAAATCTCTCACCTTATATTATCACACTTTTAGCCCTTCACCTATTAAAATTGAAGAGAATAGCTCTCACTTTGTAACATTTTGTTAGTTTTGTTAGTTGACTATTAATTCTAGTCATGTTAGTTTTGTTAGTTAACTATTAATTTTATTAATTGACTGTTAGTTGACTGTTAGTTTACAAAAATCTTTTTTTTTTAGCTAAAATCTTTTTTTAACTAACAGAGTTAACAAAACTAACTTTATAATATTTCGTTAATTCTATTAATTGACTATTAGTAACTGTTAGTTGATAAAAAACTACTTTCAGCTAACAGAGTTAATAGTAAGTATAAAGTGAGGGTTATTTTCTTCAATTTTAATAGGTGAGGGGCTAAAATCTATAAATCTAGTAAGATGAGGGCTAAAAGTGTTATAATATAAGGTAAGAGACTAAAACATTTAAACTTAATAAGATAAAGGGCTAAAAGTAAGTTTTTGCTCGGAGATTGGAGGCTGCTGCTACAATAAGTCTTATGCCTTCCTGTGCAGTGTATGCCTATCCACATGCCAGAAAGACTAATTTTAGATTCTTCTTTTAATATTTTGCCCCTAGGTTTTGATAGATTTATTCAAGATGTCGAAACAAAGCAAAAATATATATCTCAGCATATCATAATCAAATTTACATAAGTCCAATCTCGAGCAATGCAATTGGATATGTTCTCTTTCTTCATCAAAAGTCTTGTTGGTTTAGAATGATTTTGCAGATTTTGCTCTCATAACTTAACATACGAATTAAGTCTTTTGCATTTGTTGTTGATCATACAGTTATTATTCTTTCTACTTTTTAAATATGCATTAAAAAAATTAAAACAGCATAATGATAAGCATAACAGAACATAGTAAAGTTACTATCATGATCCATCCAATTCAGATAATGAAATGAGCAAATTTACATTTACAAAAAATTTAAACCAAATAAAAAAAAAAGTTACCATCAAGCGTCAAATTCCATTTAAATACTACTCTAAAATGCCAAAATCTTCAAGTTCCTACTAAAATAAATGATTCTGATAGGACACAAATGAGCTTTCTTGCTCAATGTTGTGCTCCCTTATTGTTAAGTGAGAAATTTCATATCGATCAACAAAGTAAAAACTTGTTAAATACAATATGTGCCACTGCCAAACTCAGACTACAAAAATAAAATGGCAGATCAACTAATCTTTGTCTCTTCCAAACCATAAAAGCAGAGGTCATAAGGTCACAAACGAAAGTAGGAGAAAACTAAGTTACTCTCTCCAAGAGGAAAATTTGATACAGAGGACGCGCTGATCAAACCTTTTTATTTTCCACTGGAGGAGGCTCAAGCTTCTCATAACAAAAGGTGCCTCTCTGATACTTAGGCTTCTGCAAGGAAAAAAAGAATCTTGATAATAATAGCATTTCAGTTAACATATCTGATATCCTGAACCATATTGTGAAAAAAATCAACCACTAACATCATTATTACCTTTTGCGTAACTCAGCCACGTTGATAAAAACTTGCATTATCTCAATTATAGCTTGAGCTTGACAAAATCAGATCACAAGCTTGTCAGTTGTTATTATCTTTATCTCAATTATAACTTGACAAAGGAAAAATAATTTCTTAAAAAATGTAAAGAGAGAAAACTTACAAGGTATCTAGAGGAATTGGCTGTATTACTTTTGTTATTTGCATTTGAACCACAATCTAGTTACAAGCTTGGTAATATCTTTGCAGATTATAACCTTTCCTTTTCCAGTTTCAAGAAAAATCCCATTTGAATGTGCTGTTCTGTCACCCCTCCAATTTCTTCAAAATGGAAAGAAAGAAAAAATAAATATATATGCAAGATTTTGCAAGAATTTACTACAGATTTTTTTTTTTAATCGTTTTGGCAAGTTATTTACCACATAGATGAGAGTTAGATGGGAAAACAATAAAATTTTAAAATGCCTCAATATTAAATTAATAAAATTTGCTACAAAAGAGCTTTCTTAAAATGCCTGGGTAGCAACTTTATAATTTCATTTCCACTTAAAGGAGGATTAAACTTCTTCTAACAAAAGGAATCCATTTCCAGGAAAAAAGAAACCTTTTTTCTTGATAATAAACAACAGTTCAGTTAACATATCTGATGCCTTAAAATCACCATTACCCTTTTTTAACTAACTCAGCCTTGCAGAAAGAAACTTGCAAATTTGACATGCACAATATGTCTTCCTTCCAGCTAGAAGAAATTCTTGCAGAAGAGTAGGCTTTGAGCTAGAAAGAACCACATTACAAGTTTGTCCATTGTCAATATTTTCATATCGATTCTTAGCCTAGACGATGAAAAAGTTCTCAAAAATGTAAAGAGAGAAATCATACGAGGTGTCTACAAGACTGATTTGTATTGTTTTTGTTATTTGCATTTCAACCACAACTCTGCTACAAGCTTGGCAATATCTCCACAGATTATAACTTTTTCCTCTTCCAGATTGTAGAAAAATCCCCTTAGAATGTCTTACTCTGTTGCCTCCTCCTTCAATTTATTCAAAATGGAAAGAAAGAAAAAATAAATGAGGTGCTTGAAGTTAGGAAAAGGATTCCAACTTCTAGAAAGTAATCGTGTGTTAGAACATACCTTTCCTGCAGGCATCAACCTTTTCGTAATCAAATCTATCAAATCTACTAGAGGCTTCAGCAGAAGCCCTCTTCTATGATGCCTCTTACTGAAATCAGGATCGGAGCACTGCATAGAGCGAATAACTATTTTCATTTAACCAGCATCGAAAAGGTAAAGCGATTCTTTTAATGTCAGAATAGCACCAACCAAGATTGAAACTGGCATCAAGGGTCCAGTATATGCGACATTAATAATTCTAAGAAAATAGAGGCATTTGCATAAAAGAAATGTCTATAATACAGTTCAAGTGATTCATCATCAGATCTGAAATAAACCAAGTCATCAAATAGGGTAGATTTAAGCATTAAACTTAATTTGAATTTGCATGGATTTCTCTTTCAATAACCATCCCCCATCTTCACAAGGCATTGTTGGATTGTGTCAATGTGCTAAAGTCTACAAGACACTGCATCAAATTGCTTTTTTATGTCAAGAGCCACTTCAAGTATATCAGATTAGACAAAATCCTGTTACTCAAACCATACAATGTCTTTAAAAGATTCTAACATTTATATTCAGGAACCCCTACTATCAATCTTCTTCCAGCAAATCAACCTACAAGTATGACATGGAATGCTTTATCACTTCAATTACAGTGTATCATAAAATGAATGCCTTTTATTCACATTGAAACACAAAAACCAAGTGTATATACACAATTTTGCATGACTTCAACACAACTAAACATAACTCAAAACATGGGAGAAAATAAAATTGAATGAAATTGGAAAAATAATAAAATTTGCAACTTCCAAAAAGTAAGTGTATCTCACAACATACCTTCTTTCCCAAGCACCAACATATTTATGATTGAATCCACTAAAGCTTCTCCACAGCCCTTCTTTTATGATGCCTTTCTTGAAATGATGAGCTGGGCACCGCATAGATCACATAACTATTTTTATTTAACCAACAACTAAAAGGTAAACTAAATTTTCTAGTGCCAGAAGGCTAGAAGTGCACAAACCAAGATTAAAACTAACATCAAGGGTCCAAGACAGGAGGATACTAATTGTTTGAAGGAAATTGAGGCATTGGAAAAAATGAAATGTTAGCAATACCGTTTGGGTGATCCATAATCAGATTTGAAATAATGCAGTTCGTCAAATAGGATTGGTTTAAGCCTTAGAACCAACTCTTTACTCAAATCTCAGCACACATAACCGGTTGTAGAGCAATTAAATAGCATTACTATCTAGATAATCTCAATAGAAAAATGGAAAGGAAGACCAAGAAATGTATTAACTCAATCAGAAGAATTCTTGAGTGAGTTAGAACTGGTCCAAGGAGTTTGATTACCACACAGTCTTTCAGTGAAACTATCAATGAATACTTGATTCCAATCAGGTATTGGTGCTAGCATCTACCCAAAAAATGGTAATTTCAGATTTTTTTTTTTTTCCTAATTGCAACAATAGTAACAAAAGGAGGTATATAACTAAAACATTTATATTGAATCCAAGGAAACGATACTCAAAGGAATTAAAACTTACAGCAAAAAATGAACCGAATGGGTTGACATGTTGCTGACTCTCATACTAAGCAGCTATTTATATATTGAGCAGTCAACGAGTCTTGACAGATTACAAGAATTGCAACTTTCCAATCTCCAGAAAACCAACATCTTTTCAATTGACATAAATGTCAAGCTTAAGAAATACAAAGATCTCCTCTGTCTTGTGCTTTGGGCTACAAAAGGAAGAATAATCCTTAGTAGTTTTCTTGATTACTACATAACCTTTCAGCTATGATTTTTTATTGGCCATTTCTCTAGGATTTAATATCCATATCCTCAACCAAAACATATGAGGAACTTATGGCATTAACAAAAATATAAAAAAGAAAAGATAACACTAAAACCAACATTACCTTTTTTTTTAGATTTAAATTCATTTGATTGTCATCCTGTTTTGAAGCTACAACAAAAGAAGAGATTAATTAGACTAGCCATTTTCCAAGTTTCCAACAAGCGGGTGAAAATAAATTCTATTACAGAAAAAAAAACTGTGAATAATTATGATGGAGTATTTTTGTAAGTAATACCATAAACAAAGTTTTTATCTGATCTCTGAACTTCCGTGGCTTTCATCATCCTAAAAAGAAAGAATAAGATTAAGTTCCAAGATACACCAAGGGAAAATATATTCCTAAATTAATTTTTAAAAGCCAAAAATTTATCTAAAATTTTGAGAATAGCTAAGTAGTACCCGAACTCCAATGTAGGGGATGCGAGCTATGAGAGGCCAATAGTCTCCTTTCTCCTCCAAGCATCGTCGTTCTAGTAATGGGCAGTTTTTAATCCGGAGTTGTTCAAGCAAGGGAGGTAGGCCTTCCTTTGGCAAAGACTGCAGCTTTGGGCAATCCTCAATTGTTAAATCTTGAAGCGAGTTGAGGTTTTGAAGGAGCCCTCTAGCTATGGATTTCATATTTTTAACCTTACCCACCACCAGTTTGGTTAGAGAAGAGCAAAGCACATCAGGATCAGGACATATCCAATAAATCTGCAAGGATAGAAGAGAGGTGAGGTTGCCAAGGCCCCATTCCTTCATCGGCTTCTTTAGATTCTTGCAATCAATTATAAGACTTCTAAGGTTTAGGGGAAAACCACAGTCTGGAATGGACTCAATCCTCGGACAGTCGACAATTTCAAGATCTGTTAGGTTTGGAAACAAACCACTGCCTGGAATGGACTCGATTCCTACACACCGATAAATTTCAAGCTGTGTTAAGTTCAGAGGCAACCCATTGTTTGAAATGCACTGGATCCCTGGACAATTGCTTATATATAATCTATTGAGAGACGTGAGGTCGTGCATCTTGTTAGGCAAAGACTTGAGATTCCTGCAGTTTGATATGGATAACTGTTTAAGATTGGAGATGGATAGGGTAAATGACTTCAAACCATCACAATCGTGTATCGATAAAGAAGTGGGCCCATGCATGTCCTCAAAACATAAACTTTTCATATCACCTCCATAAATACTTATCCCTTTAAGTTCCGTACAATACTGCAGCATCCTTTGAGGTGGAGACTCCAATTGCTTGCAATGAATGATATAAAGCCATTTAGAAGAATTGGGTAACTGACCACTTGGAAATGATTTCAGACAAGGACAATTGGCAATCCCTAATTCTTCAAGTTGCGACACTTGATATGCATCACCATTATTTATCAATATTCCTTCTGGTAGAGACTCTAGCTTTTCACATCCCCAAATTCGCAGAACTTTAAGCGTGGTGGGTAACTTGCCTCTTGGAAACATTCGGAAAGCAAGACATTGAGCAATAGATAATTCTTCAAGTCGCAGCAACATCATTATCTCACCAGGCAAGGAATCCAGCGCTTCACACTCCTTGACTTTTATCTTCTCAACACATGCAAGGTTTAGGATATTGACTCCCTCTTCCCACAAACAAGTAA